TCCTCCTGCCAATACAGACTGCGTACGATCGGTGAGGAAGGAAGAGAACCACCGCATTACGGTGCCTCCCATTCCCAACTCACCGAGTCGCCGCAGCATGATACCGTGGTCCACAGTATCAAAAGCCGCTGAGAGGTCCAAAAGTACAAGGACAGAGGAGTAGCCCCTGTCCCGGGCCCTCCAGAGATCATTAACCAACATGACCAATGCCGTTTCCATGCTGTGTCCCGGCCTGAAGCCCGACTGGTATGGGTCTAGATAGACGGCTTCATCCAAGTGTCGAGGGAACTGCTGCGCAACCACACTCTCAACAACCACACTCTCAATAATAAAGTTGGAAGGGACCTTGGAGGTCATCTAGTCCAACCCCCTGCTCAGGCAGGAAACCCTATACCATTTCAGACAAATGACTGTCCAGTCTCTTCTTAAAAACTTCCAGTGTTGGAGCATTCACCACTTCTGGAGGCAGGTTGTTCCAACCATACCATGCTATAAAATAATAGTGGAAAGCAGCCAGGATAAATCTGATCTCCAAAATAACTAGTATTAATAGAAGAAACAAAATTTAACTTGTTACCCAGATTTTGATTTGGGGAGAACAACACCACATAAGCAATGTATGGAGTTTTTGTACACATGGATGCTTCCAAAATATTTACACTCCCTAGAAGCACTTTTTCCTCTCCCTTCTCTTTACTAAGACTCCCCAGTAGGACAAAGGGATTCCGTAAGTCCACATCTATAATTCCATCTTCCTTCCATTTACCTAAAAGGAATGGAAGGTCTGTCACGGAGCAAATGTTATCTCCTATTCCCACCTTGAAACCAGTTTGTTTGTTTTAAGAATAATCATGTGATGAAATGTAGTGAGGAGGGAGGGGTGCATTCCAGAGGAGTAAGAGGCAACTCAGTCCAGATGTTATGTTGTGAGAGAAAGAGGGTGAAGACAGCCTCTCCCTAATAGTTCACAAAGTATATTGTAAATACAGATAGTAGAGTCCACAATCTGGCTAGATTTTGTCTATAGGTATAATATAATAAAGAACTCAGTTTGGAAGAATTGCCATGTGTCATATTTGGTTTTGGGTCCGACAAATCACTTGGTATACTTAGAATCATGTGCCATACTTTGGGGTATTTGGTGCTCTCTGAGTTTGGTTGTTTTCTCACAGAAATAGGCTAGCACTGATGGTGTTATCTAATTTGGTAATGAAAGAAAAGAATCAGATTCAGAGAACACCAAAGACCTCACAGTTTAATTCTGAGCTACAGATATTCCCTTCTGAGGGTGCTTGGTAGGTCCCACCAGCAACTGGAGAAGATAAAGACTGAATCAGACCTTCTTACATGGAATACATGAATTCCATCACTGACCTAATGCTTTTCACCAAAGGGTTACACCTTAAATTTTAACACCAACAATAAGAAATAGGCTGCCAATATTTTCCCATAATAAATTGCAAAAGTACTTTGCAAAAAAAAAAAAAAAAAATCTGTGAAGCAAAGGCAGAGCGATGTGAATGTCAAAGCTAAATGTCACCTAAACCAGCTGGGTGACTATGGGCCAGCCATTCCATCTCACAGGGCTGTTGTATGTTCGCCACTTTAAATTATTTATTAAAATAATAAAGACCCAGAAGAGCTAAAAAATACACATACAAGCGCTGCACAAAGCAGGAAAACCATTTGTCTTAAAAAAAATAAACCTGAAAAAGAGCGAGGCTAGGTTTAATAAAGTCACCAAAGAAAGAAACAAAAATTATATTTGGAGAAGAACTAGATGTAGTAGACCAGGGCTTTTCAACCTTTTCACCCATTGTACCACTTTTAGGATATAATAATAATAATAATAATAATAATAATAATAATAATAATAATAATAATAATAATAATAATAATAATAATAATAATAATAATAATAATAATAATAATAATAAAAAAGTTGGAAGGGACCTTGGAGGTCATCTAGTCCAACCCCCAGTACCACTAGTCGGCTAGCAAGGTGTCAAAAACTTGATGACCCAAAAAAAAGGGGGGGGAGTGATAAAAGTAAAGGTAGTCCTTGACTTACAACAGTTCGCTTAGTGACTGTTCGAACTTACAATGGCATTAAAAAAGTGCCCCCCAAGCCACAGCCGAGCAAGACACCTGCCTGCCCACCCGGCGGCGCTCTTCCTCCTATTTCATTGTTGTGAGCATTTCTGTTGAGGATTGGCAGCGGGGGTAGAGTGGAGGGGTGTTTGGTTTTTATTCCCGTCTGCTGTGTGGTTGCAGCAGGTTTTGGTCACTTCACATGACCCTGGGACACTGTGACCGTCATAAATATGAATCAGTTGCCAAGCATCTGAATGTAAATCACAAGACCCTGGAGATGCTGCAACATTCCAGCTGATCGACGCTTCTTCTGGGCTCAGCAGAAGCACCAGGATCAGTGCTGCTTTCCAGCTGATTGGTGCTTCTTCAGGGCTCAGCAC